TCCCAGAGAGCTAGGATTACAGGCGTGAGCCACCGCGCCCGGCCAAAAACTCTTAATACACTCACTTAACCTAGCTTTTTTTTTTTTTTTTTTTAAAGAAAAGTTAACCAGTATTTCTATCTTATCCCTGAATGTCACGGGTTCTTAACCCTTCCAAGTCCCACGTGGGTGTTGTCTGCCTCCCAGGTGCGAATCATTAATCACAAATTATTTTCTTACAGAAGAAGTGCGGATTTGCATCCTACCGTGCCTGATTCTTTCTTGTTGGAGGAAAGTCTATGCTCGATGCCTGAGCACAAGTTACTTTGCCACACTCTGCTCTCGCTGGAGCGCACCTTTAATTGTGCTTTGAGTCTTACACATTGAATTACTCCCGCATTCTTGCAAGATGGTTTTACTGGATATGCAAACGTCAGTTATTTTCCCTAAAACTTTGAAGGTGTTTCTGCGTGGTGTCCTGGCATCCTGTCCTGCTGAGAGCAGTCACACTGCGACTTGCAGTCTTTGTAAGTTCTCTGTCTTTTCTTTTTGGTAATGACTTTTTAGGATTCTTTTGACTTCTGATGTGTCTACATGTGAATTTTTAAAACTTTATCCTGCTTAGTGCTTGCTTTTTTCCTTTCGTGTTGGGAAAAGCAGTCACGATCTCGCCAAACATCCCCTTCTGACCACTCCCGCTCCCGGGGCTCTCTCAGGTTCACCACTGCCACCCCCCAAGCTTGCTTCCCCGCTGTCTTCTGCTGTTATGGCCTGGGGCAACTCACCCTGTGTAGCTTTGCTTATTTTGAACACAAATATTGGGGTATTTATCTCAACTTTCCATTTCTCAGATTCCTAGCTGGTTCTTTTTCATAACCTCCTGGTGGTGTGACACAGTTGAGAACTGGAGCCGGAGGCCAGTGTGGCCGCTGTAGCCGGGTCGTCGTGGGCGAGTCTCCCACGCTGGCTGTGCCGCAGGTTCCCGTTCTGTGGAAGGGCAGCGACAGCTCCGGTGGCACAGCGCAGGATGAGGGCTGACGAGTGACCCGTGTGAGGAACCCGGAGCGGTGCTTGTCACAGCAGCTGCTGCTGGAGTGTGGCCTGGTGGTGTGACGGCCCTTGCCTCTTCATGAAGAGTAGTTGTTCTCAGTGTCCTTCCTGAGATGCCCCGTGTCCCAGGTTGCGCCGCCGCTCTGTGGGGCTGGTCTTGCTCAGGAACCTTGTAATCCTCCACAAAGGGCAGCGGCGTGAGGGTCCCCCTGGTGTGGAGGGACGGCAGGTGACCTCTACCCGGCCGGACGGAGGATCGCCTAGCGGGCCCCAGCACAGCCACCACCCAGGGGACACCGCTTAAGTGCCACTGTCCAACGCGGCCATGCCGCTCTGGCCCGGCTGCTCTGCAGGCCACTGGCTTTGTCCCTTCATCACCACAGTGACCCTTTCTGCTTTAGAAAAACATCTCTGTTTTTTCTTATCCAGGGACGTTCTCTTTGCCTTGTTTGAATGTGGCTGTGTGTTTAGGACCTTTTTTCTGTTTGTTTGAAGCAGAAAGGGGGGGTTTCAGTATACTAGATCCAAATAACTGAGCATAAATTACTTTGCCACGGTGTTTCAGAGATGCCCTCTCCCCGCCCACTTCTAAATATGGCTTCCGGTGTACTCAGGAGGCAAGAGAAGCTCAGGACACCAGCTAGGTGCAGTATTGCAAAATAAATTTATTTGAAGATAAACTGTCTTATAAAAGGCCAGAGGCAATTTGAGATCCCAGATTCAGCTTGTCTCATAAAAAGATTCAACTTCAAGTAGCACAATTTCGTGTCTGCTTTTAATCCTGAACATTCTTGAATCACGAAACAGCCAACTGTTTACACAACACATGTGACACTGGACTCCAGCACCAGCGGAGCCACAACTTTCAGGTCTGTGGCTGCAGGTGCCGCAGCCTTCCGCTTCCAGAGGGCCCAGAGCAGGCCGCTGTGGCCTCTGGCTTTGACGGCAGGGACAGGTCTCCGCACCCCAGCCCTTCCCTCCCCTGGCGCCTTCCAAAAGCAGGAGAATATAAACCAAGACCACTCCTGACGCAGGGGATGGAACTTTGCGTGACAGCGTGCTGACAGGCAGGGTGGACCTTCCTAGCGACTCTCTGGTGGGCCTGGCCACCCGAGAGGATGAGCAAGCGGCCTCACCAGGGCCTTACCTGGCCACATGGCAGCCAGGAGGAAGGAAGGAGAAAGGATGCTCACGGGTGTGACGGCTCCTGCCCTCACTGGTGGGGGCTACGCGATGATCCTGGCAATGGCTTGCAGGGAGGGGAAGTCATCGTCCCGGGCAGCGTGCAGTGCCTGGTGGCTGCTGATGTCGCCATGAGCAAGGACCTGCTGGCAGGTGGGGCACACGCAGCAATCCAGGCCTGCCGGCCGGGTGTCAGTCTGCCATGCGCTCTTCTTATTCTTCCTGGACTTGGCGCCGGGAGGCTTCTCCCGGCTGTGGAAGTTGGCATGCGCAGACAGCAGCTCCTGCTGCTTGGCCGTGTCGGGCAGCAGCACCAGCAGCTCGTTAAAGATCTTCTGGAAGTTCTCCCCGAGCAGGTCCCGGCAACTCTTGTAGTACTGGGCAGCAGAGATCATGCCCTGCCACGTGGAGAGCCAGACTCAGTCACTCCCGCCCCAGGCCTGGCCCTGGACAGATGGGCCAGCCACCCGCACCCCGGGCCCCTGACCTGTCTGAACTCCCCCGAGTGGCTCTTGAACTCGCTGAAGCGGGCCTCGTCGCTCTGCAGGAAGTCCCTGATGGACTGGATGAGCTGCAGGTTCCTCTCCCGGAAGTTCTCGGGGACCAGGTAGGTCCGTGGCATGGACGGCAGCCTGGGCCTGGGGGTCAGGACAGGAAGAGGAGGAGGTGGAGGCATCAGCCTTTAGGGTGGCCCAAGGGGAGGGCACCTTTCCCCCAGCCCCCAGTGGCACGGGCCAGGTAGCCCACCTGCACTTACGCTTTCGTGGTGATGGTGGTGGGGCTGGGGACGCAGGCCGGGTGGGGGCTGGGCAGGAGGCCAGAGAAGCCGGGGGGTGGCTTGCTGACGGGGGGCACCAACCCTGGCGGGGGTGGGGGTGCTGTGCCCTTCAGGAGCACCACAGCGTTGAAGCCTGCAGGGGTGGCAGGACAAGGCCTGGAACGTGGCTCTCACTGGCCAAGCTTCCTGCAGGCTGCCCAGCCCCCCAGTCAGGCTCTGCCCACCGCCACTTCCCCACAGAGCAGCCCAGGGCCAGCACCCACGCCGCCCTCCTGGCACACCCTGCCTACGTTAACTCACGCCCGCAGCCCTACAAGGTGCTACAACCTCCTGTTTCACGGAGAGAAAAGGGACACAGAGCAGCCTGCGGCCAGGTGGGTCGCAGATGGCCGTTCCTGCATCCTGACGTGCCGCAGCTGGTAGAGGCCGCTGGGAGCCAGGGCCCAGGCTTCCCGCACCTCGCGCCTGCGGGCTTTGGCCTCGCTCCACTACCCCCGTCCCACCCCAGACGTCTGAGGAACAAGCCTGAGCCCAGCGGACGCACCTGGGGGAGGAGGCATCCGGGGTGGGCAGGGGCCGCCGAGTGCTGGGAAGTCTTCCTGGGGTGTGGGGCAAGGGAGGGGCCCCAGGGGCCTTGGGAGCCCAGGGGGTTCCTTGGGGGCATTCCGTGCCGAGGCTGGGCCCTCTGCGTGTCCGTTGATGATAGCAACTGGCCCTTCGCCTCTGCTGGTGGGAGCTTCGGGGGCCTGTTCAGCCCCAAGGGGTTTTACAGGGCAGCTGGAGGGCAGTGGCTGGGGTAACGTGGCACTGGGCTTTTCGGTGCCCACCTTCTTCTTTCTGCTGACCTTGGAGGTCTGGGCAGACGCCGGCCCCAATGGGGAGGAGGCAGAGACTGTGGAACGTGCGCTCCGCAGCTCCTGCACACCCTCCTCCTCCTCCATGGGGGGTGGGCCACCCCTCTTGCCCCTGCTCCCCTTCCCAGCCTTCCTGGTGGGCTGGCTGCCCCCACTGGCAGCCTGGGCCGCTGGGGTGGGCTGTGCCACCTTCTTGCTGCAGCTGCTGTTCCAGGCAGAGATGAGGCTGGTGGGGGCAGTGCTGGGCTTGGATGCTGAGGACACCAGGGCAGGAAAGTCCTCCTCCTGGAAGGTGTTCCTGCCCCTGCCTCTGGCAGGAACAGGGTACACCAGTGCCAGCCCCACAGGGCCCGGGGCTGCCACTGTGGAGAAGGAGGAAGTGGAGGCGGAGAGGCTGGGGAAGTCTTCGTCCTTGAGCTTGGGGGTGGACGGCGGGAGGGCACTAAGTCCAGGAAGGAAGAGCTGGTCAGTGGCTCACCAGGCCTCAGCCTGCTCCACACTCGCCCACCCACCACCTGCAGGTGCCCAGCACCCTGCCGAGCCCCCGACACACCTCAGGGGGGCAGCCCCTGTCACTGGGCCCATCGCTGGGAAGGTCTCTTGGCCTATAGGACCGTTTGTTGAGATTTCCTTGGCACCTACGAGAAATGGAAGGACCCAGGTCAGGGGCAGGGACAGGCCCTCAGGGGGATCAGGGAGCATGAAGATGCCCCCCACTGCCCAGCAGAGGCCCTGACGGTCCCGGGCACCAAGCTCCTCACGAGCTGGCCTCCTGCCCCCCAGCCGGGGCAGGGCCGGCTCACCTGGGCCTTCGCCCTGAGCCCGGGCCACACGCCGAGGAACACGGGGCTCCTCAGGCCCCCTAGCAGCTGCCTCCTCCTTCTTGGGCCTGCTGACCTCCTCCCGGTCCTCGCTCCTTCGCGTCTCCTCCTGTTGCTGTGCGGCCACCGAGGCCCGGACAGCAGCTGCCACTTCTCGGTCCTCTTCTTCCCTGGGGCAGGGAGACTGGCCTTCAGGCTGGGCAAGGCGCAGGGCCACAGCCTCAGACGGGCAGAGCCTGGGCCTAGTGCTTGGGGTACAGTTGGGACCCAGCATGTACCTGCCGGCCAGCACTTCCCAGCACACCTGCACCGCCCTCCCAAGTGATACAAACCCTTTCGCCCACCCCAAACCATAGGCCGTGGCTAAAACTAAAGGAAAGAGGAAGAAACTCCTCCCCACAGAGGACACTAAGCAGACCCCACTGCCACACTCAGGACCCCAAAGCTCTGGCCAAGTCCCCCGCCCCCGTGCTATGTCCAGCTCCACTGCTGGCCAGGTGGTGCTGGGAGAAGGTCAACAGCACACAAATCCTCCCACCTCTTATACCTCCAGCTTCCTCGGCGGCTCTGCTGGGCTCCGCGCGTGCCAGCCCGGCTCGCACGGCTGTACCTGTCCACCTCCTCATAGTCCTCGCCTCCGACCACCCCTGCAGCCAACAGACAGCCTGTCACTGCCCTTGGCCCTGGGATGGCAGCAGGAGTGACCAAGGCCAATGCTCAGGCTTGGATAGCAGAGGCTCCCCAGCCCCCATGGCACATGAGCCTGGGGGTGGGCACAGACCTCTATGACCTGGGTGCCCAGTCACAGCAGCCGCTTAGTCACAGCCTCCGGACCCAGGGGAGAGCCCCGGGGCCCCCAGACCAGCAGATCAGAGCACCGCAGAGGACGTGTTCCCGCACGCTCACTGCGCTGCTGATGCTCACGGCTCGTCCATGGCTGAGGAGGTGGTGGCTCCGTGGCTCCACGGTGTCCCCTCATCGTCAGCTGCCACTGAGCCAGGGCAGCTGATTCCAGACCCAGGTCCGAGGCCTCCAGAGCTCTGGCCGTGCGGACCCCGCCCCCCAGGGTGCCCAGGCCAGGCTGGGGCCCACGAGCACCCTGCTCACCCTCGTTCCGGCGTGAGTGCCGAGGCGCGTAGCTGAACTGCAGGTCGATCTGGCGGTTCTGGCGGGCCTCGGCGCGGCTCCGGCTGTGGCAGGCCGTCTTGTGAGCCTTGAGGTCGATCTCGGTGCGGAAGGCGTGGGTGAACTGCTCCGTGCTGCAGCGGCCCTCCTCACACAGGAAGTGCTTCTCCCGGAAGTGCTCTCGCAGGTACGCGTAGTCGCTGGCGCGGGACAGGGTGTTAGCAGGAGCCCAGCCAGCGCCACCGCTTGGCCGGGGCCCCGGGGGAGGGCCACCTTGGCGCCCCCACCTACCTGTAGTAGTCCTGGGCCCCGTCTGCGTCGCAGAAGTGGCAGAAGTAGTGGTCGCGGCGCAGGTGCTTGAGCAGCTCGTCGTTGTCTAGGTAGCGCTCGTCACAAAACTTGCAGAGGGGGTGCCCACGGTGCGACGTGTCGTCAGGGTCCCCCTGCATGCGGTGGCGAGCCAGGTCCTTGCGCGAGTACCACTTGCGCTCGTACGTGAAGATCTGCAGGGTAAGGGGGGCTGGGCACAGGGTGGGGCATCCCAGCCTCCCGCCTCTTCCCACGGGCCAGCGCAGAGCAGCGAGCAGGGCAGGCCCTGGACGGCACCAGCTCTGGCCCAGAGCCCCGGGCTCCAAGAGCCTGGTGGGCCCCTCAGCCACAGGAAGCTGCCCCTGCCCAGGCCGTGTGCCGCACGACACTGGGAGACCGGCCTGAAGCCGCTCCGAGCCGCCCAGGATCAGGGGCAGCGTGGACGAGCCCCGCATGGCCGTGCGGCTCCAGCGCCCCCACCGCTGCTCTCCTGGGGTCCCCAGGGCGCACCTGCAGGTGTTGGAGGCACAGCCGGCAGCAGAAGAGCTCGTGCTGCTTCCGCATGTGCTGCTCCAGGTCCCCGAAGAGGCTGAAGGGTGGCAGCTCGGGGCACCGTGGGCACTCATGCTGCAGCAGCTGCCTGGGGAGACACCGGGAGCCACCCACTGTCCCTGGATGTTCAGTGTCACCACGTGGGGCAGGGCCACCCACCAGGCCCTCAGGCCTGTAACCAGGGCAGGACGTGAGCACGGCCATGAGGAAGGTCGGTCTGAGACCCAGGAGATGATGGCTGAGCCCAAACAGGGGCCTGGGTCAGAAGCTCTGCCTCTAGCCCTGAGCCAGCGAGCTCAAGAAAATGGGGACCACCCCCATGACAACTGTGCCCTTGTTGGGTTTTTAGACCACAGGCTAAAGCCTGACTCACAGGAGCTCACGTGCCCCTCACAGAGCCCCAGACAGCGGACACTGTTCCCACGCTGCAGTGCCTTCCCTGAGCGCACCTGCCATCTCTACTGCCACCCCAGGGGGAGCACCCTGGTCACAGGAGGGGAGCTTGCCGACGTCGCACAGCTGGTCCGTGGAGGCTGAGGCAGGTACCTGGCCCCGAGGTCAGGCGCACCACGCGCCCCGTCCCCGCCACAAAAGCCACACAGATGCTCGGACTCCAGGCCTGAGGATTCCTCTCACCTGTACAAGGCAAACACTTTTCCGTCTGCAAAGTAGATGTCGTACTTTTTCTCGTGCTGCAGCTGGTGGATGGGGATCGTGGCGAAGGCAGGAAGCTTCTTCCCAAAGACCACCTGGAACCGAGAGTGGGGGTGGTAAGCGGGGCCACAGAGGGACCCCCCTCCCCCGAGTACATAGCTGAGGCTCAGAGGAAGGGGACGTCCTCAGAGGCCTCGGCGGGCAGTGGCCAGGGGCACCCAGTCCTCCCTTCCTCACCCGCAACCCACCTGCCCGGGGTTGCCACGCAGAGGACGGAGACGAAATACCCGGCCTCTCCACTAGGCGGCCAGACGAGTCCCAAAGTGGCCGCGGCCTGGCCCCAGCCCCACCCTGTGGTCGAGGGGAGAGACGCACACACTCCAAGCGCCTCTGAGGGAGTCAGGAAGGCCGCCAGCCACGACGCATCAGGCCACCGTGCGTCAAGGCCTGGCCACCCTTGTCCAGCGCCCCCTCCTCTGCGTTTCCATGACACCACCACAGGACTGGCGTCTTGAGCCGACTACCTCGCCGCTCCCTGCCTGTCATCGGGACTGTCTGGGGCGCCGCGGAGACGACTGGAGACGACTGGATGCTACTCGGTGGGGCTGGCACGGGAACCCGCAGCCGGGGCCCATTTCTCAGGGGCCTCCAGCACCTGTCGAAGCCTGGCTGCCCAAAGACCCCTCTCCTGTCCCTTCCTGCAAGGGCGGGGGCAAGGCCTGCTCTGCCCCTCTGCAGACCCCTGTCCCCGGCAGGCTCAGGCTCCCACTCCTCCCGCCTGGGGCTCCCTCACCCTGCAGCACCCCCTTCTCTCCACGAAACCCCTCTGGTGAGGACCCCCTTGGTACCATCACACCCCTCCGGGATCAAGCCCACCCGTGGCTGTCTTCTCTCCACCGCTTCCCACTCAGCCACTGCCCCTCAGCCTGGCCCTGGTCATGGCTGCAGCTCCGAGGCCTCCCCAGCACATCCAGGGCATGTCCTCACCTTGGGAAAGGGCAGACCAAGGTCATCTCTGTTTGGCCTTAACCAAAGAGAACATTTGGGACCAGGACTGCCATGAACTTGGGAGAGTGAGCCCCACATGTGCTCGGGGTGCTGGGTGGCCACGCTCTGTCCCCAGCAGCAGAGTAATTAAAGCTGGTTCCCCTTTTAACAGGGTCCTGGGGAGAGCAAGGAGAGCTCGGCCCCTACTTCTGCCACCACACGCTTGGGGAGGGCTGGGAGACCCGCGGCTACCCCTCCAAAAGAGCAGTGGCCCAGCAGACCTCTTTCGCCCTCTCTGTCATGTCAGGCGAGGCGGGGCGGGATGGATCTGGCCACCTGTCTCTGTGTCCCTGCCACGTGCTGAGCCCAGGTGGGCGCCTCATCCCCTCCCACAACAGTCTTCAAGTGGGAGGCGCAGCTCCGTCCCCCAGGCCCCATCGATCACAGAGGCTGCCAGTCCCTGTGGGCTGTACCACCCCTGTCCCTGGCTTTCTTCCTTCCCGGCAGCTCCCCCCAGGCCCGGACGTGGGGAATGTCCCTGGCCTTGTGCTGGGCTCTTCTCATGGGACCTGCCCTCGTGGGGGAGCTTGCGCTCAGCCCTGCCTCCCAACCTCCCAGCCCAGGCGCAGCAGGTGCGCAGGGCCCCGGGGAGCAGACTTCGGGACTCACAGGCACGAACAGCCACGCCCCCACTGCAGCTTCCCTGAGGCACCGCGCGCGGGGGATCCAGGAGCCCCAGCGTCTGCCTGCAAGGCGGCCAGAAGAGCAGCGCAAGGGAACTCCCTGAGGCTGCCAAAAAGCATCCAAGCCCGACAGACTCAGCAGATGAACGACTTCCTCCCCAGAGGAAACGTGTGCCAGGGGTGCCCCCGTCACCGCCTCCCGCCTCGGCGCTGGGTGGCGTCTCTCTGGGCTGCGTGGAGACAGGCCGGGACTTGGCCGCAGTGAGGAGCTTCATCTCCTCCCAGGCTGTGGGGGCCTCCAAGGCACCCCTAACCTGTGTCTCCTTAGAGTGCCACCTGTGTGGGTGCAGTGCCAGGCCATGCTGAGGGCACTGGACACTTGTCTGTCCTTGCCACCCTGCGCCTCCTGGCACCCAATTCCCCAACCCCCAAGCAATGCCCTCACGCTGCAAGCCCATAAGAAACCCGTGGGACAGCACTGGTGGGACAGGTGGACTCAGAGTCAGGACAGCCTCTCTGAAGGGGCCAGGAAGCAGCTGGGGCAGAGAGGTGGGAAGGCGGGCAGAGCGGCCGGGATGAGGCAGCGTCAGGGAGGGCCAACAGTGCCCAGCAGGAAGGACCCAGAGCAAGAGGAACAAGGGCATCAGGGGTGTGTGCCAGGAAGCCAGGCCTGCTGCACTATGCCAAGGGTGCTGCTCGTGCCATCGAGGCAACAGGACCAAGAGGGCAAGCAGTGGGCACAAGGCAGGGGTGTCAGGGTGCCCACTGAGCCGAGTCTGGATGTGGGGTCCGTCTGCACAGTGGGTGGGGCAAGCACCCTGATCGCATGGAGGGCCCAAGGGTGTTCTTCCCTCCCGAGCAGTCTGGTAGGGGTGGCCTAGGCTGGTACACCTGAGCCAGCTGGGAGACGGGGAAGGGGGGCCTTCGGTCAGCTCATGGAAGGACAGGAGTCACAGGGAGAGGCTCAGGAAAGAACTGCCCCAGGCAACACAGGGTCAGGCTGGGGTTTGCTTGAGAGAGGGCAGCAGGCTTGGAGCCACAGGGCTGGGCATGGAGAGTGATCACTGCTGGTGGGGACCCTGAGGAGGAAGAAAAGTGACAGGAGACCACGACTGACCCCCCAGACCTGAGGAGCGACGGCAGGACAGCAGTGTAACCCAGTGTGGCCAGCGTCCTCACCCACAGAGGGTGAGGGCAGACAAGTGGCTAGACAAGGCTGAGCACGAGGGCATGGCAGCCAGGGCTGGCAGGGATCCACCAGCAAGACCCTGCCTCCCCGGTGACACTCCAGTGAGGCCAGGCTGGGGACAGGGGAATGTGGGGGCCAGTGAGAGAGTGCTGGCCTGGGGCTACAGATGGAAGGAGGCAGGGAGACAACAGCTCTAGATCACCTGCTGGGAGGGGCCACGGTCTGAGGACAGAAGGACGGGCCAGACCCGGACACTGGAGGGGCTGCCCTGGGTGGCAAACGACTGAGGGGAAGGGGCACGCTCGGTGAGCCCCGGGACAGTCGGGCCGTCCCCGAGGAGAGTGAAGTTGGTGGGAAGAGAGGCCTGTGCAGGGACAGGAGCCCCACATGGCCCCTCGGGACAGCTGTGAGTGTCTGCCTGGGGCCCTGTGGTGCGCAGGGATCGAGTGCCAAGTGGTGCCAGCAATGAACACCCGCAAGAGTGAGCTGATGGTGAGGCCGGCCCAGGCCTGGGAAAGGGTGCGGGGGGTTCATCTAGAGAGCCCAGATGGGGACAGGAGCAGGGAAAATCGTACAGAGTGGGCCAGGAGCACAGTGTGACAGTGAAGGGGCATTAACAGTAGAAAAACATGACCTGAATCAGCAGGTCCAGCCTCCTGACCTGGGCCCCGGGGTAACCATGGGCTGGCTGTCGGTGTTCCCCCCCAACGATGGCCTGCCTGTGAGGTGGCCTGCAGCCGCTCAGACTCCTGAAGCACCAGGGAGCAGGAGGAGGTGGAGAGCAAGACAGAAAACGGCCCGTGAGAAAGTCGTGTCCAGAGAAGGGACAGAACCCAGAGGTCTTGCTCAGCTGTGCCCACCAAGACCAGTGCAGCCGCCGCCGCCTCTCTTTAGACAGGGGCACCTGCTGGGCAGTCCAGGCTGACCTAGCTCCTCGCCTGACCAGCAGCTGCAGGACCAGGCCGAGTCTGCTCGACCAGTCCCCGCCCGGGGCCTCCACGGGGAAGGTCTCAGTCAAGGTGTATGGAGTTAAGCAGCAAACGAAGCCTGTGCAACACAGCATCTCGCACACCTTCCTCCCATCTTCACAGAGACACAGTCCCACGAGGGAGGGCAGGGCAGACGTAAATTCCTGGCACGAGACAGCAGTGCAGGGGAAAGGCAGGGCCAGGGTGAAGCTGCAAGTTCCAAAGTGGGAGGAAAACGAGGGGAGAGGAGAGGAGGGCATCAAGCTGAGCTGGGCGGCATTTTCTCACTAAACAGCAAACTTCCTAGGACCCCCTCCTGCTGCCCAGCAATGTGGGGCAGCCCCAGAGGAAGACCAGGCTCAGCCAGGGGCACTAGTGCCAAACCACACCCCAGCAGGAGCCTGCTGACAGCTCATGTCAACAGCCCCTTGCCACAGAGCTCTTGGAAGCTGTGGGGCCTGCAAGGAGGGAGAGGGCAGACGCTGGCTATAGCAACCATGTGTGGTGTTCACTTATTTCCTGCATGATACCTATAGCCAGGGCCAGAACCTCACAAGTAAAGACCTCCATAGCACCTTCCTTCCTGGAAGGAAGCTACAGGTGTGCTGGGAAACCTGGCTGTTGGAGAGTTACGTCATGCTGTGCAAGACTGGCTAGCAAGGCAGGCTCTGGCAAAGCTGGGAGGCGCCCTCTGAGCAAGCCACAAGCCGAAGGCTTCCCTCACTGTTCCTGCACCCCAGCTCTCTCCTGGGTCTGGGCCTACCTCCTTCCGCCGCAACAGACAGCATCTCCAAGAGTCTTCTTCCAACAGAGCACAGGTAGATACCCACAAAATGATCAGAAGATTTTACAGCGTCTCTTTGGCTCCTTTAACCCAAATGTCTACTTTTCAAAAAAAGAAAGAACCTATTCCTCAACACTGCTCTCTCGGCGTCACTTCTAGGAAGAGCAGAATCAAATTCCCTAACAGATGTCACCAGCAGAAGCCTTCTGTGAACCAGGGGAATTTTACAATCCTGGAAGCAAAGAGATCTCTAAGCGCAGCAAACCAAGAGATCTCCAGCTAGGTGCTCGTAGCCAGCAGCTGCCACTGCGGAGAGGGTGGGGGAACCTCCATGGCGCCTTCTGACCCCCAGCACTTCCAAGTCTGGACAGAGAAACGTCTCACACTCACTCTGGAGTTGAGCGCCAAAGTTGGAACCGGCAAGGAAGAGGACAACTTCCTAACACTTTTATCCCTTCCCGCCAAGAACCTGCAGACCTTCCCCCCTAGTGGGGAGGTCCGAGTGTCATCGCCACTCAACACATGGAAACGCCAGTCTCGGAAGGAATTCGGCCCTCTTCCTCCAGGACAGACCGCCTCTCGCCTTGTTCTCTCCAGCCGAAAGGAGACCTCTACAGAATGAACTCCGAAGACGAGATCAGAGTTCTCGATCTGATCAGGGCCCTTCCTGTGGCCCAGCAGGAACTCCCGGGGCACAGGGGGGGGAACTCCCCAGGCTCTGTCCCCACAGACAGCTGTCCTCCGCCCAGCTTGGCCGCATCCTGCCTCGCCGTCCGGACGCACCGCGGCCGGACCCCGCCCCAGCTGGCCCGACCGGGCCTCTCCCGGGGGAGCCGGCGCCGCCAGGCCCGTGGCCCGACAGCGGGAAGGCAAAGTCCCCTTCCGGCAGCCGGGCGCCCCGTCCTGCCGCGCCCCCCGCGCCGCCCCCGGCGTCCCGGACGCACCTGGCGCAGCTCCTCCCGGCACACGGCGCAGTAACGCTGCTCGCATAGCACCCGCATCTTGGTGGAGCAGCGGTAGCACACCGGGTGGTCGCAGCGGCCCAGCGCCGTGGCCTCCAGGTCGCCGCAGCACAGCACGCAGCTCCCGCCGCCCCGCTCGGGCGCCGCCGCCGCCTCCAGCGCCGCGCGCCGCCCCTCGGCGCCCGCCGCCGCCGCCGCCGCCATGGTCCCGGCTCCGGCCCCCTCCCGGCCGGCGCGGCGCGGCACGGCCTGACTCCCGGCGGGCCCGCCCCTTCCGGGCTGACGTCACCGCCCCGCCCAGCAACGGGCCCGCCCGGCGGAAGTGTGCGGCGCGGCTTCCGGCCCAACGAGGTGCCGGCTAGAGCGGCGCCCCGCCCGGCCCTGGGCGCTCTAGCCAGGGCCGGCCGCTCGGAGGTCCGGCGTCGCCTGCGCCCGCTGGGCTACTCCGGCCCGACGCGTGTTCCTGCCCGCCTTCCCCCGCCGGGCTCCGCGGACTAGGGCTTCCGGGTGAAACACTGACGCCCAATTTGAGTTTCAGAGGACCGAGGAATAATGTTATAGCGTAAATATAGCCCAAATGTCGACGGGCTGTACTTAATACTAAAATGTCACTCGTTGTTCCTCTGAAATTCAACTTGAACTGGACTTCCTGTATTTTGTTTGCTAAATCTAGAAGCCCTGTTAGGAACCCAAACATCTCGCTCCAGCCCAGACCTTTCTCTTGTATTTGGAACATACACAAGCCTGGCCACCAGCCTGGCCACCAGCTCCTCCACGCTGCTTCCCAAGCGCCCTGTTCAAATCCCTCCGACATCACGGAGGCACACTGGCCTCCGGGCCAGGGGCAATCTCGCCCCGGCCCGCTGGAGAAGGGACCTATGGAAGGCAGGAAAGGAACATGTCCTCTTCACTGTTGGGCACACCTGCCAAGCATGGAGCCTGCACAGAGGATCGTTCGTGCATGCTTCAGTGGATGCTGGCTGAGTTCTGGGGCTTGGGGTTTCTGCCGTTGTTGGGGGGCCTCCTCCCTACCCTTGGGGGCCGGGCACACTCGGGACTTGCTTCCTCTGCCAGGAAGCAGGCCGGTCCAGATCCGAACTCTTTTTTAGAAAGGAGGCAGTATATTGTGGAGGAATGAGCCTGGACTTTAGAATCAGGCAGAAATGGGCTTAAAAACTCAGTTCTGTCACTTATTTGCTGGTAACCTTGATTGGCTCACTAAAGCCCTTAACGTTCTCATGTGCAAACCAGGATCACTATATACAATAAATCAGATGGCCTGGCCCCATGCAGATGGCTCACCTTCACGAAACCCCACTAAACGGACAGCAAAGGATTAAAAAAGCTATTAATCCAAAAAACTATTAATCCACCAGCACAAAGAGAACAGGATGGGGGAAGCAGATAGGGAAAGATATAAACAAATTTTGGAATGACAGAAAGAAGATGAAGGAAGGCCCTTCGTTTTTCGGAGCATCCTAAAGACTAAAGACCCCTGGGAGACCCCAGTGAGAAATTTCACTCACAGAACCACTGAGGGTGTGTGACACAGGACCCTGAAAGCAGGAGTGTGTGGAAGTCCATGCACTGAACTGGGGGAGCAGCACTGTAGGGTCTCATTCTTAAATGGAAACAGGAGGCTAGAGCCCTCCAGGCTAGTGGGGAAAGCCTGCAGAATGAAAAGCCAAAACAAACAGACACAGAGAGTGGAAGGACATTTTAGGAAGAACTATATTTGATATCCACAGGAAAGATACAGCTTCCATGAAATGAAAATAGGATGCCTTGGACAACAGTAACAACCACAAAACAATCAGAACAAGAAAGAGCTCATATAAATTTAAAATACAACAGCATAAGTAAAAATTCACTAGCAAGGCCAGGCACAGTGGCTTACGCCTGTAATCCTAGCACTCTGGGAGGCTGAGATGGGAGGATCTCTTGAGCTCAGGAGTTTGAGACCAGCCTGAGCAAGAGCGAGACCCCGTCTCTACTAAAAATAGAAAGAAATTGGCCAAACAACTAAAAATAGAAAAAATTAGCCGGGCATGGTGGCGCATGCCTGTAGTCCCAGCTACTCGGGAGGCTGAGGCAGGAGGATCGCTTGAGCCCGGGAGTTTGAGGCTGCTGTGAGCTAGGCTGACGCCACGGCACTCTAGCCTGGGTGACAGAGTGAGACCCTGTCTCAAAAAAAAAAAAAATAGTTTATAACCTAAGTCACAGTTCTCACCCGGGGTGATTTTGCCCCTAGGAGATGTTTGGAAATGTCTGGAGACGTGCTGGGCTCTCATGGCGGGACGGGACTGTTACTGGCATCTAATGGCGCATGACTTTCCTGAGGCTGTGATAAATATCACCACAAACTTAGTGGCTTAAAACCACACAAGTTTGTTATTTCACAGTTTGGGGGCTCAGCGTCTGAAGTGGGTCACACTGAGCTAAAAGCAAGGTGTGGGGAACACACGTTCCTTTCTGGAGGCTGCAGTGGAGAACCTGCTTCCGAGCCTTCTCCTGCTCTTGGAGGCTTCCCGAGTTCCCTGGCTCACAGGCCCTTCCCGTCCTCAAGGTCAGCAGCACCACTCCACGCTCTGCTTCCACCTTCCTCACGGACCCCTTGCCTTGGCCTCCCTCTTCCACACTTAAGAGCCCTCGTGTTACGTTGGGCCCACCTAGATAGTTGAGGCTAACCAGCTTCTAGTAAGGTCAGCTAATTAGCAACGTTAATTTCAACTGCAGCCTCATTCTCCCTTACCACGTAGCATATTCAAGGGTTGCAGGGATGAGAGGGTGACCATCTTTGCGGGGCTATTATTCTGTCTACCAAAGTGGGTGAAGGCCAGGGATGCTGCTAAGCGTCTTGCATGCAAGGACAGCCTCCACTGGTGCCAGTGGCGCTGAGCCTGCGAACTTCCGCCCTGAGGTGGTAGATGTGCCTGCTGGCCGCACTAGCCAGGGAGGGGCAGCGGGAGCCCCCCGGGAAGCTGGAAATCTCCTCTATCTGCTCTGGGCTTTGAGCTTGCAGGTGCAGCTGTATACGGAGATAACAAACGTGAATGTTGAGATATGCACACTTCACTTAAAGTATGTCATGCCTCCTTAAAAAGACCACCATTTAAAAAATAGCAGTTAAGCTTATGATTGAAAATATGGAAATAAATACTAAAGAAACAGCTAAAAGAGTTGGAAGCAGTTGCCTCTGGAGAGCAGGACCAGGTTGTGAAAGAGTGGCCAGGGACAGCTTTTTTTCTCTTATAGTAGCATTTGATTTATAATGCATATTACCCTGATAAAATTAAAAATTAAAAAAAATGACAGAACAGAGAGAGTTGCTCATTCACCTCATCCTTGTGGGGGAGTTCCAGTTCCTGTTGTGGGCCCGGCTCAGCGCTGGGGCAGACGTGGTCCGGTCCCGGCCCTGAGCAAACACACCCAGCCATGATCAGCCACTCTATGAGGGACTACTCTGCGGGGGGCATGAGAGGTGAGTCAGCTCTCCTGGGCTACTAGGGTCATCACCTCCTCTCTCGTGGAGCTTTGGCTCCAGGCCCCTGGTGGGGGAGGCAGAGCCTTAGTCACCAGGCCCCCTGGGCACTGGGCTGGGTGGGGCCCCTCCTCTGCACCCTGAACTGGGAACCCCCAGGAACCCTCAAGCGATTATGGGTTTCCCTCCTCTTACCCAGCCCTGGGCTCACCCTGCCATGCCTTCTGCACACGCCCACCCAGCAGACACTGCGCCCAGCCCTTTGTTCCCACGTGGCCTACATCTCTCTGTACATCCCGATATTTTCACCCCCTTGGGCTGCAGCAATAAACAAGACAGAGGAATCCATTGCTGGCATTTAAACTTCACAAAATGGTAGCACACTGAACCTGTCATGCTGCAGGGTGTTCTCTTCTTTGTCCCACACTGCATTTTTCAGGTTCATCTATGCTGCTCCTGTAGCTCTACTCCCACTTCTAACTGTCACAGGGATCTGGTCCTGGCATAGACCATTGTTGATCAGTTTCCATATTGAGGGACTGGCTCCCACCTAAGTTCCCTGGGCCACCTCCTGGGGGCGCCCTAGACCCTCCCTGGGCTGGACTGTAGTTCCCCAGGGTTCCAGGAGCGCCCACGTCCCCTTGGCAGGGGACCCCCATGCTGTGTCGTGCCGTTCTGCCCGCCCACTGCACACTCCAGGTGGCTCTCCAGGACAAGGGGCCCCAGGGGAGCGCCATGGGGGCGGTGGGGGATAGCTTTCTGCCGCAGCAGCCCCCTGGTCCCTGTGGTCCTTCAGGCATGGTAACAGCTCCCTCTGCATCCCTACCCTGCCCCCCCATCAAAGTGTCTTCACTGACAGGTTGGGGGGTTGCTCAGCCTCTGGGACAGCAACAATAGCTCCCAGCTGCAGACATTTATTGACTGCCTACTGGCTGCCAGGCACAGTTCCAAGACCCAAGACTGGATCATCAATGCTCACAACAAGATGATGAAGTGGCCACTATTACTACCTCCAGTTTACAAATGAGGAAACTGAGGCAGGAGAGGTTGAGGAACTTACCCTCTCCCCTGCACCTACCACTGTCAAGCCTGGGTCAGATTGGAACCTGGCCACCAGGCCCCAGGGCCAACTTCTCCCCACTTCTGTGTGGCCTTCGAGGGGATGGCTGCTGCTTCTAAACCTCCCCAGGGACCACGAGACCCACCCAGGTGCCTTCCTCCGCCCCTCTCAACCTGGATCCCTCATTCCCCTAAACCAAGGCTTGGTTAGGGGGTCTAGGATGTATCTCACCCTCTCCCCCCACTTATCCAGCAGATGATCTGGGACAAGCCAATTCTTCCCGGGCCTTAGTTTTCTCATTTCTCTTAGTCCCACCCCATGGCACTTTCTGGAGATCAAAATAAGACATTTTGTGATGATCCAAAACAAGGTCCCCAGTGTCTGGGACCTGGAGGGTGGCCCATGAATGGTGTGGTTGCTGTGGGAGGGGAAGCCCGATTATTTTGAGGGCTGGATTCATCCTCGAAATAAAATTTGCACCTGCTGAGAGTCTGCCCTCTGGGTGGGGGATGTTAAGCCTAGGCAGGGCCAGAGGAATACTCAGCGGGACTGGTCAGACCAGGGCCATTTAAGCAGAGTCCTGATACATAGAAGTTTGCAAAGTTGCAAAGGAGGGAAGGATGTTCTAGGCATGGAGACAGAGGCAGCAAAATCACAGGTTGTCGGTTCACACAAAAAATTGAGACTGGCTGAGAAAGTGTTTGGGGGGAGGGAACTGTGACCAGAGGAGGCGCTGGAGGTTGCAGGGTCTTCTCCTCCCCTGCCTGGGTCCAGATGTGAGGAGGGGCTGGAGAACCATTCGCCTCGGGGAAAGCTGTGTGGCCAGCTTGAGGTTTCCAAGCCTCCATCCGGCTGCAGCCAGGAAAGGGCTCGGTGGGAGAAGCTAGGGGTGGCAGGACACGCCAGGTGTGGGGACAGACCTGAGAGCTGTGTTAGGCAATGACAAGGGACAGCCTTCAGGGGAGGAGCCGCACAGAATGGTCTTGATGGTGCCCAGGGCTTCCCAATCAGCTCTCCTGCGTCACCCCACTGGGACTCTGCCAGCCTTCGGGCTTTGCTCTGCCCGGGCCCCATCTGCAGCGGTCTGGCTGAGGGGCGTCCCCTGGTCCCTACCCCCATGCTTGGGCCCGGAGGCTCACGGTCCCAAGCTGCATTCCTGGTAGTTGCACCGCTGCCGGAGGAGGCGGACAGGAAGCGGCGGCGCCCCCAGGGGAGCTCAAGACCAGCTCTGGCGAAGCCCACTCAGTGAGGTGCTCCGGAACCGCGTCCCCGCCGCCCAGCCCGCGCTCCCTCTTCTCCATCGCTGCCCCCACCCGTGTGGATCCCAGCGGGTACTGCGGGGGCGCGCGGGGCGGGGCCACCAAGCGGTTATAGCTGGACCCGCGGGGACCACTGCTCACCTCCAGCCTCCCGCGCTCCGGCTCCCCGACGCCCCAATTCCGGGGCGCGCCCAGACCCAGCCGAGCCGGTTCCTGGCCCGCCCCGCCGGGCGGCCGTCGACGTGAACGCCCTGGCGCGGGACCCGGGGTTACGGGGGGCTCCTGCGAGCCGGCCGCTGCTCGCGCTGCTGCTGCTCCCGCTCCTGCTGCCACCGGCCGGCGCCTGGTACAAGCACGTGGCAAGTCCCCGCTACCACACGGTGGGCCGCGCCGCCGGCCTGCTCATGGGGCTGCGTCGCTCGCCCTACCTGTGGCGCCGCGCGCTGCCCGCGGCCGCCGGGCCCCGCGCCTGGGACGCCCTCTCCCCGCGGCCCGCCGCCCGCGATGCTCTCCTCCTGCTTCCCGCGGCGCCTCAGGAGCCGTGGGACACGCGACGCGGGAGCTCCCCGGCTGGGCTCCCCGTCCGTGCGCCCCGGAGCCCGCGCGCCCTGGAACCGGAGCCGCGGTTGGGCCCCCACTCCTGGACCTTCGCAGAGCGGGCCAGGTACGCGAGGGGAGGGAGGAGGCCGCGTTGGCGGCGGGCAGGGATCTCCAGGGTCCGAGCCCAGAGCGCACGTCCACGCGTCCAGGGACCACCCTCCGGCCCCTCTGTCCTTCACGTGTCGCTGAGAAGGGTAGCCTCTACCCTAGCGGCCCGAGCAGCAGTGGGGTGCGCACGGCCCCCTCCCCATGGACCTGCTCTGTTCTTTCTAGAGCCTTCGGAGACACGTCTCCCGCCCAGCCATGGCCGCTGCAGCAAACCGCCTTCGCCGGCCCCGCCTGGCCGCAGGGTCGCCCTGAGAGCTTCCCCTACCCGCCGCGCCCCCGCGCCTGACCCCGGAGGAGTCGCTGCAGCTTCCCAGGCGCGCAGGTCGAAGCTCCGGCCAGGACGGCCTTCTGGTCAATAAAATCCGCCTGATTCCTGCGCCCCCGCGTGTGACCCTTTTCCTCCGCGATGTGTACTTTGCCATCTCGCTTCGGGGCGCAAGCAAGCCGCGCCCACGCCCTGGCAAATGTCAGGGGCCCTCGCGGACCGCGCCACGGCGCAGCCATCCGCATGTCCCTGGGGGCAGAAGAGGGGAGCGAGGCAGAGACGAGATGCTGCTGGGTCTGGTCGCTTCAGCCAAAGCCTCACTCTCCTGTTTGGGGTAGGCTGTTAGACCGGGACCTAGGCTTGACGACCCCAGGGACTCCTTGAGGGGAGGGGCTGGACAGACCCTGGGCCCTGCCTCCATCCACCCAGCTGTACAGAAGGGGAAAAGCCGGGATTCCTCAACCCAGCCTCCTAGGACCTCCCCAGGGTGCCCCCCCATGCCCTCTGGCCAGGCTGGGGAGAGTGTCCCCCTCCCCACTGTGGACTTCCCCCTTTCCCCCATCTCTCAGCATTCATTTCAAACCTGTATCTCTTTGAGCCCCCTCCCTCCGCTCAGCCAAGTGCTTCTGGAGAAGAGGTAGGGCCCCCCTTCTTCATGCCATGCCCTCCTCCTGTCCACAGCTGCCCCCTCCCTTCCCCAGGAGCCCCTCCACCTCATACCCTCTGCATTTCCGGGCCTTGGCTCCAGCCACGAATGCACATGCTGTGCCATCTTGAATGCTACGGCCTTCCCTCACGGACCCCTCCGGTTCCCCTCACTCTACTGCTCTCTCTCCAACGCTCTTTAATGGGCTTCTCACTCCTATGACTGGCCTGGACCTCAAACTGCCAGGGTCATGTGCCCTGGTGCCATCTGCCCTTGGAGCCCTTCCTTGGCCTGTTGCACGGTCTCCCCTTGGGGCCACCGAGCAAGGGCTGGAGGAAGGGCGGTCCCAGAGGGGCCCCTGTGGAGCCAGCTTCCACGCTGCCGCCCTTCGTCCCTTGCTGGCCATTCCTTTTGATCTCCTGGGTGCATCCTTCTCCCTAGCTGACCCCAAGTGAGAATGCTCCTGTTTCCTCCACCCATTCCATGGACCCCTAAATGCATTTACCTTGAGTCCACCCAGCCCTCTCCCAGGTTCTGCACTGGAGGAAGAAGTAGGCACGGACCTCTTGGGTCGACCTGTTCTCCTCCCTCCAAGCTCACTCCTCCCCCACTCCTGCCCTGCTCCTCACGGAACCTGACCTTTAGGAACATGGATGTCCTGATTTTGTCATCCCCAAATGCACAATTCCTCAAGCGCTCCCCTCTGCCTATGGGACAGTATCCAGGCCCTGGGGCTGGGCCACAGGGCTGACCCTGTCCCCCCTCCCATCGCCCCCTCCCTCCCGCCTCAGCCTGCAGGAGCCCTAGGTAGATTCCGGGACAGCCCAGGAGCTCCCACCCTGAAGGACACCTACCCAAATGCCCCTCCTTGGGCTGCCCTAGCTCAGGCCGAGGTGCACGAAGCCCTGTTTCCCAAGGTCTCAGCGATGCTTCCCCAGTGCTTGCCAGCACCGGGTGCCAAGTGGTCCTCAAATGTTTGGTCACAAGTGCTGGGACACTTTTTGAAGGGCCTAGATTTCATGTTGCTGGGAGGTACCCCTGCCCAGAGAGGTTGGTGCCAGGTCCAAGGTAGGGGGGCAGAGCCGATTAGGGTCTCTGCAGAGGCCGGGCTTTTGCCCTCGGCCTACCACTCCCCCCATGCCCTTGGGGCTCCCGCCTCACCTCAATCCCCACCCCGCGGGACTGGATCAGGTCGTAGCCGGAGGGGCGGGGCCCGGGGCAGCTCCTTGGACTACACAACCCCAGCAACTCCAGCCAGGTGGCGCTGCGCAGCCGCTGTTCCCTGCGACGGCCGCCGACCAGCGCCTCCAACGATGGGCGGGGCACGGAGCGGGCGGTGGGCGTGGCCAAGGAGCAGAGGCCCCCCGCTCGGGGGCGGAGCCAGTGCGGGCAGCGCGGGCAGGGCGCGCCCTTCTCCGCTGGGGGTTCCTGCCCCTCCTCCTCCTCGTACGGCCGGGTGCTCGCCATTTCTCCCCTTCTGTCCCCCTCCCACCTCTGGTCTCTGTTGGTCTCCTCCCTCCTTCCGTCGCGCGGGCCCCGCCTGTCCGTTCCGAGCCTGGGAACTCGGGGTAGGCTGCGGGAGGAGGCCTCGGCGAGGTCCGGGCCATTAACGCCCACCCGGAGGCGGCGCCGGCCCGGGAAGCTCCGGAACGCTACTGGGGCGTCGGATTCGCGGCTCCACCCCAGACGGGGCCCGGGCCTGCACACGGCCGCATCCCATTTCCGTCCAGATCGCTGGTGCCTCGCCGGAGGGATGCGGGTTCAGTGCTCAGAGGAAAGCCCCCTGCCGACAGGAGCACGGGGACAATCCCCACCCTTGGGGGACCCTCCGACAGCCCAGAGGAGGGAAAGACTGAAGCCTGCTCTCCCTCTGTCGCAGAGGGGACAAACGCCTCGGTAGCAAGTTGGCAGGGGTGGCTTTAGGGGATGGGGTGGATGCGGGACTCTCCCAGGCCTCTGACTGCCCCTGACTTGCCCTCCTTCCCTCCTGCAACTGGCCTTGGGGGGGGCCGGGTCTCCCCATCCACACCCTGCAGAACCAGCAAAAGAAAGCCCACCCTCCCCATCCCATTCTCGGAGACTCCAAACAGCTTAGAGCTCCGGACACCTCCCAAGTCCCCACGGCGAGGCCTTTGCCTCCCCTGCCTCCCACACCTCCATACCTCTGTCACAGGCCCTGTTGTGCCCAAGGTCGGCCTCAGAGCCAGGCCTGGGAGGGCTTGCCCATGAGAGCGCTGGGTCACCCTCCTCACCTGGCCCTCTAGCCCTCCACACCCTACTCTGGGCTCTCTCGCTGATCCTGCTGCCGCCCTGACATTGTTACCTCCGGCTCTTCTCTGGCTGCCTTTACTTACCCTGTTGCTGTTACCTACCGCGCTGGGCGCCCACTTCCTTTGCTACCCAGCCTTGTTGTCCCTCTAGGATGTTGCCTTTGTTACTTTGTTACCTTCCTTGGTACTTCTTTAGCTCCCCTTTTGCTTTGGGGACTCCTTTGTTACTCTGTAACTGCAGTGTCCTGCACGCTACTTCGTTGGTTCCTGGCCCTGGCTGTGACCTCATGTCCCTGGCTACCTTCCCTCCATCAGCGTTATTCCCCATCTCATCTTCATTCATAGGTGGGAAGATGCAGCCAAGTCCTGGGCTGCAGAAAGCTGGTGAGGGCTCGAGGCTGATCAAGAGAGTCTGCCCTATGGAGTCGGGGAAGAGTTCTTCAAGTCCCCTGACCCAGGGTACCTGGGGCCCCTTCCCTCCTCTGCTGGTCTGGGGATTTTGCATCTAGCCACCTCCCTGGACTCTCATGTGGCCACAAAGCTACAGGCTGGCAGCTTTGGGGTGGGCCTGGTTGCTGTGGGATGACTCCTGGGCCCTACCTAGGTGTGGTGTGTGGGGTATAGGGTGGGCCACACTGCCACACCCATCCTCACAGTCTCCAAGGGCAGCAGCACTAGGCTGGGTACAAAAAGGCATCCTCTGGACAGGCAGACAGATGGACTTGGCCAGCCAGGCCGGAGCCTATGGCAGCCTGCATAAGGAATTGCAGAGGGTGGGGGTGGGGGAGCAGCCATTCAGCCTCAGCCTAAGTGGCTTTTAGGGGCAGCTGCTGGGGTGTGGGCACCCAGGGGGCCATGTCCCAGGAGGCTGCCCACAGGCGGGCTCTGCTCTTGGGTGGGGCCTGGGGAGCCCAGACCAAGGGCACTGGAGAGAGGAGAGAGAGGGCAGGACTGAGCCAAGCCTGCTTTTCCTGCACACATGGGGAGTTGTCTTGGCTGGCTGTGCCCAAGCCCTGGGTACCAGGTATGTGCAGGGGGCCTGGCCAGGCTGGGGAGGGGCAAGCTGGGCCTGGGATTTGGCCATCTTCCTGTATCTGAGACTGAGAAAGAGCTCCACAGTGAAGAGTGCGGACTCCAAATCTCACAGCCTCAGGCCTCCTCCCTCTCCAGACCTCAGTTTCCTGATCTGTAAAATGGCCTGGCCCCCTAGTTGTTCCAGGTAGAAGGTACTCAGAGAGGCACGGCAGTGTATGATGACTCTCCACTGTGACTAGTATTGTCTAGTTGGGGAAGAGGGGACACTCATGCTTGGGGAGGCAGAGGCTGGGGGCAGTGGAGGGCTGGAGGCGGGGGGCCTGCAGGTGCCCACTTAATGTGGAATAGCTCCTGTGTGCACGGACCACCACCCACAGCTTAGAGGCCAAAGTTCTCAGGGCAGTTCATCCCAGGTCAGGAGAGTAGCAAAGACCCTCAGGTTTCAGCCAGAGGAACTCATATCCTTCCCCCAGCGTCCTAGAAGCCTGGGATTGCAAAGTCACGGGCCAGACCTGGGTGGACTGGGACACAGGTTGGGGGCTCCAGCAAAGGGAGGGAATGGACATGCATTGCAGAAAGTCCAAACATTCCCTGGGAAGGTCAGGGAGTCACCGGTCACTGGCCTACAGGGTCCAGGGAGGGGCTGGTGCGTGCTACTTTTAAACCCCTCTTTGTTCTCCTGCAAATGGGCCAGGGCAGCTTGGCTACAGGAGGGACCCTGATACAGGGAAAGCAGAGTGGGAGCAGGCGGGGGGGGGCAGGGAGAGGGCTTCCTGAGAAGGGTGGGACGGGCTGCGGTCCTTGTTCTTACACTTTGGTTCTTGTGCGGGGTCCTTTGGCTAGGGGACCCTTTCTCCAAACTGTCCCCCACATCAAGAACCTGCCTTCCTGCCGTGAACGCATACAGTAAGTGTCCAATAAATGTGCCTGGAATAGAAGGCAAAGGCGCTGGCGCCAAGGAGGCTGCCCAGGGTAGGGGCGAGGCAGAGGGGCTCCCAGCGGCTCAGGGGTCCCGGCCCCGCAGCCTCTCGGCGCAGCGCCCTCGGCCGGCGGGCGCGGAGGCGGGGGCAGCGGGGCTGGCGCGGCCCGGGGCGGGGGCGGGAAAGGGGCGGGCGCGGGGGCGGCGCCGCAGCCGAGTCCCAGCCTGAGCCCGAGGCGACGCGAGCCAGCGGAGCAGCCGAGGCCGCCACCGGTCCCCGCGCCGCCCCTGCGCCCCTGCTTGCGGGCGAGGCCCGGGAGCGCGGGGCCAGCCGGGGCCGGCCGGTGGGCAGCGGCGCCATGGCCGCGCCAGAGGCCCTGCGGCCGCGCCTGTGCCGCTTGGTGCGCGGCGAGCAGGGCTACGGCTTCCACCTGCATGGCGAGAAGGGCCGTCGCGGGCAGTTCATCCGGCGCGTGGAGCCCGGCTCCCCCGCCGAGGCGGCCGCGCTGCGCGCCGGGGACCGCCTGGTCGAGGTCAACGGCGTCAACGTGGAGGGCGAGACGCACCACCAGGTGGGTGCCCGCCCCGCCGCGGCCCTCCCCGGGGAGCGCGTCCCTGCTGGGCCAGGCGGGGGTCGCCCCTGGGCCTGCGGAGCTCCTGGGGGGCGGTGGGGACGTGGCCAGGAGGCGGCGGCCGCCAGCCTCCTTCCTCGCCTCCCCGCAGGAAGCTCAGTCCTGCACCGGGGGTGGGGGGGCATCCTGGCAGGGAGGGGCCCGCACTGCGGCTGCTTCGGCCCTGGGCCCTCGATGTACCTACCATGTGTCAGGGTGTCGGCAACTTGGGGGGTCTCCGTGCAGGTGGGGACCTGGGTGCTGTTGTGTGTACGTGCGCGCGTGTGCACGCAGCTGGGTATGTGTGTGTGGGCCGGTCTGGGGTCATCCATGTGTGTACACATCTGGCCGTGTGCACCCAGGAGGGGTCACAGTAAGGGCATCCCTGTGTGTGTGTCCATCTGTGATGTGTGTGCTGGACTGTGTGCATTGAGTATACAGGTCTGCACGCCTAAGTGTGAG